ATCTCCAACTTCAGGAATTTTACCACATTCTTTTTCTCTAATCTTGTCCCCGAATTCCAGAGCCTTTATATAATCATGCAGATTGGATCAACTTCAAGGCTGTGTCACCAACCTCTATGCCATTGATCCTCTCCACAGTGCGTGAGGTTATTGCCAGTGGATTTCTCTCTTCACAGCAACGGCTTTGACCTTTCCATTCTTCTGCAGGGCAGACTTCATCCCCTTTTAGAGGAAGACCTCACAAGGAAGCAGACATCATCTTACAGGCATGTTATAGCTCTTTGATCTAACACAGCCTTCCTTCACATCTCCTCCTCTCTCCAGCCACCATATTCAGTTTCCTCTCTTTGTCTCCTTCTTTTCACCAATAAACTTTCCTAGAATCAAATGCCCTTTGCCTCCACTTTTTCAGTCCAGACTGTCTAACCCTACAGTTTGGGTTTATGTACCACCACCCCCCAAAAACTTCGAAGGTCACCAGACGTCCTAACCTTTTCTAAGTTCTCATCCCTCTGAACCCTGTACTATTCACATTGCTAATCAAGCCCTCCTTGTTGAAACTCTCCCTTTGGCGTCTCTAATTCGTTCCTACGCCCTTAGCTCCCCTCTGCTCCTTACATGTATGCCCTCCTGGAGCCTGGACTGTTTGATCCCTAGATGATCTCAACCATTTCTACGTTGAGATCTCTAGGAGCTAAAATGCTAGGGGGTGAGGAGGTGTAATCCCATTCCTTAGTATAACACAAGATCTTTAATGACCCGGCCCCTTCCTACCTCTCCATTCTTTTATTTACCATCGCCAATTGCCCTACATGCCACCTACACTGCATTACTGTTCCCAAATGTGCCAGGCACTCCCACATTCTGCCCCTTCTGCCCGGTACACATCTTCCCCTACCATCCCTTGCCTATATAATTCTTAGCTGGCATGCTAAATCTTAGTTCTGAGGCACCATCTTCTCTGCGAAGTCTTCCCTGACTTACTGTTCTGGTCCAGTTTATGTTCCCTTCTGTGCCTCCTGCTGTCACAGCACTGTGTCATTCTCCATTCACTCGTCTGCCTTTCTCATTAGAGTGCGGGCTCCTTGAGGGCAGGGCCAAGGATTTGTTTGCTTTTATTGCCCAGCACAGGATTGACGCCAATAACTGCTTAACCAATGGAGCCAATCATCATCTCTATGCTAATAAGACTAACCTTTAGACCTGAATTTCCTATGGTGTGCTGAATATCTCTATGCCACGTTGTCATAATCACCTAGTTAACGATAAACTAATTTAATTATCGAGGTGACTTTTGGTTTCTTTTTGTTTTTCTTGGACTTTCAAAATCTTTAGTGAACAAGTATTGTTTTGGTTAGAAGAAATTATCTATAAAAATGATCTATCTTTATAAGGTCAAATATGTTGATATTGTATTGCTTAAATCACGTTTTTTCCATGTCACAAGAACACAAATCAAACTACAGGAAGCAAAAGAGGGGATTATCCATAAAGATTCTGGTGTGTCCCAGGATAGTCAAGCACAGGAATGTGGCAGTACTTGATAAATCCTAGACCTAGGAACCCAGATGCCCTGAGAACCCTGTCTCTCTCACCTCTGTGACCTTCTTGTCTCCAGCCCAAATAGCAGAAGAGATGGTAGGGGACAGTTCCCAAGATTTACGATAGCTTCAGCTAGGCACAGAAAAACTCTCTTCCTTACTTCCAGTCTCAGAATTCACAAAGAACAGGCCCCTGCCTAGACCACCCAATTAGTGGCCAGAGGGGACATCATGTCATACTGTATGATAAATCCCATAGTAACCCTGTGGGTTGGAGGCGTGTGTTTAGAAACTGGTGGGCAGATGTGGGGGTGTACCAAACAACAGGTATCTGTCACACATACTTTTACTCAGACTGTTCTCTCGTCCAGAAGTTTCTCCAATTATCAAAATGCTTCCCATCCTTCAAGGCTCAACCTTAAATCCCACTTCCTCTGTAAAATCTTTATTGATCTCTACTCAACCACATCCGAATTCTTTCTTCATTCCTCTGTGCTTTTCATCCTCTGCCTTATTTCATAGGGAGTTTATATGTGTGCAAACTAACGAGAGGAAGATGTAGTGGAATAAACCAGATTTTTAGGTCACACCTGAATTGCAATTCCGATTCCCATGCTAACTAGCTAGTGATTTTGGACAAGTTATTTAGTTTCTGAGCTAGTTTCCTCATTTACAAAAAAATGACATACGGAGTAAAGGACAGAGTTGTATCTCAGATGTTCTTGTGAGGATGAGACAATATGTGGACAACCCTTGGATGGTGCCTGGCACAGCAGGCACTCACAAATTGCTAGTTTTCTTCCTTCTGGTTTCTCCCACTAGATAAGCTCCTTGAGGTCAGGATTTCCCACTGTGTTTATTAAATACTTGAAAGGTAAGTAGTTCTGCATCAAATGTTGTTGAACTGAACTCCTTTCTCATTGTCTTCCCAGCCGGATTTAATTAGTAGTATTAATATTTATTGAGAGGCACTAAATGCTTTGCATGTATTGAGTTAATCTCCATGATAACCCATGAGATAGGCCTTATTGCCTCTCTTTTACAGATGAGGAAACAGGTGCAGGAAAGTGAAGACACTTGCTGGAGGTCAAACACTATGAGGTGATGGAGTGAGGCGGCAGCTCCAGGGCCCTGCACTTTTAACCATCCCAGCTGGTGGGTTCTTGGTGGTAGGAAATATGCCTACTTTCAAACAGTTCACATAGGTTTTATTGTTTGAACTTGCTTAATTTTTTTCTAGTAATCCAAACAAATAGTTGCTTTGAGTTTTTCATTTCTTTAATTAAAAACTTCCAAGAAGACCTAATAGCCTCCCATGGCTGATGACAATGATCTGATGAAGGGCCAATTTACACCTCATGCTGCAAACCCCTAGGGCCCCCAATCTAGTAGGTTTCAATCTCCTGGATGACCTTGGAGTTTTATCTGGTCTATCTCCAAGCTGGCTGCCAGTGTGGCTACATTTAATTAACAATATGCATGACTTTCCCAGCAGACAGCCATGGGAACTCAGGAAAAGCAAAAAATAGCTGTCCACTAGGAAAAGGGTGAGAAATCCTGACCGGACCTCTTTACTTTCAGACAATTTCCAGTTACACTCCATTGCTGGAGCCCAACAGGTTTAATTTATTAATCTTCTTTTATTCTATCTATCTCACCAATCACCATCATTGATCCAGATCGCCTGTGCCAGGCATGACTTAGCAGGTACGTGGGAACACAGTACGGGGAGGGTTCAAGGAAACAGCGACCCCAACAGTTGCATGGCAGTTATGTTTCCAAGGTATTTTCACACATGTTTTTCTTCCAATAGATCCTCACCTCAACTTTGTGATAAGGAGACATCATCATCTTCATGTTACAGATGAGGAAACAGAGGTTCACAGAAGTTAAGTGACCCAGCAAAGACACGCATGAATTTGCACTGTAACTAGGTCAGGGCTTTCGCCACTTGCACTGTGATGTTTCTGAACACAGCAAGATGCAGTAGAAATTTGTGCTTGGTCATAGTTTGCGGAACAAATAGGGCTGGCAAATAACACTGGGCAAGAGGTATAAAAACGTAAAGGAGTACGAGTGGCATCTATTTGGCCAGGGAAGAACCTAAGTCTCCTTATATCTGTGTCCTTCATGGGCAAATTTTGTTTCAGGGTGGGGTGAGAATGGGATTGTCCCCACCCAAGGAGGTCGCAAAAAGTCATCATATCCTCTTGTTCAGTTTTTTTTTGAGAAAGATTAGCCCTGAGCTAATATCCGTGCCCAGCTTCCTCTATTTTATATGTGGGACGCCTGCCACAGCATGGCTTGATAAGTGGTGCATTGGTCTGTGCCTGGTATCCAAAATAGTGAACGCTGGGCCACCAAAGCAGAGTTCGTGAACTTAACTGCTGCACCACCAGGCAGGCCCCTCATCTTGTTCAGTTTTAGTTCTCTGTCCTCTTCCAACAGCACATCCCTTCACAGTCACTCTTGTATCCTCATCTGAAGTTTAGAAATTGGTACTTTTGGGTGACTGACTGGTATCCACCAATATTTGCTGCTGCTATAATTCTTCACATAAAAAAGTTTATACGCTGAGGGGCCGGCTCCGTGGCTGAGTGGTTAAGTTCGCGCGCTCCACTGCGGCAGCCCAGGGTTCGGATCCTGGGTGGACATAGCACTGCTCCTCAGGCCACGTTGAGGCGGCGTCCCCCCATGGAGCTGTCCAAGGTTTTATTTCTTGACCTTCCTGTTCCTGGCCTCTTTAGTCATAACGCAAAGAGGCAACAGAGGGTAGTAAGGAAGAGCACCCACTCTGGAGTCAAACTGCAAGGGTCTGAGTCCCAGCACCAGCAATGGACAGCTGTGTGACCTTAATCTAGTCAAATAACCTTTCTGGGCCTCAGTTTCCTCATCTGTCGAAATGGAGATGGTAATACGAGTACCTAACTGGCAAAGTTATTGTGAGGATTTAATCAGTTACTCTTTGTGAAAGTATTTATAACAGTGCCTGGCAAGTAGCAAAAACGGAATCTTTGAGTTCTCTAATTTCTACTATAAAAGGATTTTAAACTTAGGTTTAAACATTCCACAACTAGAAGGACCTGCAACTAAGATATACAACTGTGTACAGGGGTGTTTGGGGAGATAAAGCAGAAAAAAAAAAAAAAAAAAGATTGGCAACAGTTGTTAGCCCAGGCGCCAATCCTTAAAAAAAATAAAAATAAAATTAAAAAAAGTTTATATGCTGAGATCTGGAATTCCAGATTTTGCTAGTTTTTTCTTAATTTTTAAAGTTCCACATGTTCTTTCTTTTCTGATTTAAAGTGACTCTGTTCTCTTCAGGATGCAGTCTCCCTGTCTCTGTGCTAGTAATTTAGTTTGTTATGTTTGGCAAAGAGCATTTGAGAAAAATCTCTCAAAAGAGTAGCAAATCTTACTGATCCTAAAATCTAGTGTGTGAAGCAAGGACACAACACATTTTTAATCAAAGTAAGCAATAATGACAGGTTTATTTAAAATTTCCAGTAGAGAAAACCCACTAGTTTTGGAATAAAAGTACTCAATGTACGAGAGCATAAGTGAATATAAAAGATTAGCAGAAGAAAAATAAAAGCAAAGATAGTACAAAAAAACTAAAAAAAGGTTGAAATGGATTTAAACAGGGATGTTCTTTAAATCCTCGAAATATTGAACAGAGTTATTAGGTTTGGCAAACAATTCACTTGAAAATTAAAGCCTATTTCTGTACTGTAAACTCCATAAAAACCTCTTATTACATTCAAGCACTCCATACCATCAGCACTGAAACATACAGGCGGTCAATTTCAAAATAGCAGGAATTATTCATTTGCTCTCACAGTTATATGAATGAACCAGCTGCATATCTGCTTTTTGGAGAAGATGGGATAGAAGATGCCCCCAAAAAAGAAAAGTAGGATAAAATCTCTAAAAAATCAAAACACAGCAAAATTTAGACATCAGTTTGTTTCTTTAAAGCAACAAACTGAATTTTTACAGTATATTCTACATTTGCAGTTGTCATTTCCTTCCCCCACCCCCTCAAATACTTCTAAATCCACTAATCTAATCAACTCTTAACTTCCAAATATTCTGTACATACATATTTAGCCAAGAGCATATGCCTAACATTATTCTGACAGCAGTATGGTCAGCATACAATTTTAGAAAGATTACTATGTATATCATCAAGATTAACCGTTACTTAAAAAACAAACAAAAACCATTACTAAACAAATAGTTTTAAAATATTATGAAAACCCATGAAAAGAAGACTCAACATGGGCGTTAAACCTGATAAAAACACACTTCAGAAAGACTATTAATGCTAAATTTCTGCCAAACGATGACCTTAAAGTGCCAAACACAAAAGAATCTCTTAGGACCATTTTTCGAATAGATAATTTGTCCCTGGCTAGGCCATCTCTCCTTTATACACAAAGTCCTGCTAAAAGTATGCATTTTAGTTGATTTTACAATAAAATGTTACAATGTAAACTAAACAGGTTCTTGATATCAACAGTATGTTACCAAGGTCTTTTAAATTTCTGAATCCAACAGTTGGTCACAGAGGTCAAGTATTATCAAGGCTCCTTTGTCAGTTCTCCATCGTGTCTGACTCATCCATCCTTCAAGTACATGCAAGGCTCAATAGTTTTCAAGAGGCAGAAGCCTGAGGCCGTTTAAGACACAGATGAAATTGGATTATGAGGTGAACCCATCTGAGTAAGCACTTTATCCAGCCACTGGAGGGGGCCATGCAGATGGATCTCGATCCAGCAGGGGGTGCTGGTAACATCCTGGCGGTGGTATTCTGCTCCCCAACCCTAGAGACAACATATTGGAGGTCATTTAACTTGCTTAACTCAGTGGTTAAACTCATAATCAGACACTTTGATTAAAGATAAGGATGCTTTCCACAAGACATATGCTTCTGCATGTGCGTGCGTGCACCCGCGCGCGCACACACACACACACACACAATGTGGCAGGCAACTTCCGGGAATGGGTGTGTTCACCACTCCCGAAGTCCACCCATGGAGTCCAAATTAAGAATTGGCCTTGGGGAATAGATGTTTTAAAATTCATTATAAGGCTGTTTTAATAAAGACACTTTTCATTTGCATTGCCTGTTATGTTACTGATAGTATTGTAATAGATATTATTAAATTCTCATTTTATCATCAAGAATATAAGGAAAGAGTATCTTAGACAAACTGACATTCTCTTTCTTCCCTATTCAGCCACCAAAGGTCCTCCTATCAACACGGAGTTCTTGATCTTTCAAACTTCTAAGCAAAACTGGCAGGAGCATCTAAGTATCCAAAAAGCTATTACCGACACCTAACCATGGCCTTGAATCAATAGATTCTATTATTCATTTGTACAAGAAGGCAGCTTGCCAGACAACTTTAGAATTACTGAATTAGGATGCTAAAGTTGCATGAAGGAAGTCACTATGCAAAAGATAAGTAATTTTGCTATTGCAAAGACCAAAACCTCACTGGTGTGGTGGACAATGGAATATCAAGTTCTGGTAAGCCCTCGTTTCATGAGGAATATCAGAGAACGTTCAGTTCTATTTATCTCTGCTACCTACCTACTCCAGGAATTTCAAGAAATACATCTGAATATCAGAACTTTCAGGAGAAAGTTGTGATATGTGAATTACCTATGTATATACATCCATGCATTTGTACATCTATCAACAAAAAAATGCTGATTTTAATTTAAAGGTTTGTTTATGTACACATTTCCTCCATTAGATAGTAAGTTCTTTGAAGGCAGGGATCAGATCTTATTTATCTTTGATCTCAAACATCCAGCACAGTAACTGGCACAAAGCAGAAGCTTTGGAAATTCTTGTTCAGCTGAACTGACTTGGATTTTTCAGGTAGAGGAAGTTTACTGAGAAAATAATTTATAAAATAGATGTTTTATCTTAAAGTCCAAAAACGATTATCTTAAAAACAGCACAAGATTGGTAAAACGTCCTATACCATTTCTCTAAGACACTAAATGTGAGAGGGCAAAGTATGCAGTTCTTCTGATAATAAAGAACAATGCTGAACAAACTGTGCGCAATCTTTTTGTTGCTGATGTTTGATAAGCAGCTGCCCTTTATCATGTCAGCAGGAGTTTTAAAATAAGATTTGTTTATCCTTAATTCCTCAAATCCAGCTTCCAGGCTATGTCCATTATATCTCGTGTAACCCTCCAATTCCAGTACTTTTCACGTTACATTATAATTTAACACACACTAGGCCATCAGCATCTTGAAGCTAGAGACTTTAGTGCTTTTTCATCTTTGCATTAATTCTCTGGAATAGTGATAAAAATATTTGCTGAAATGAATGAAATCAAGTACATTTTTTATGCATATCCTTGCGTTATAAACACTTTCTTAGCATAAAGTTTGTTTCTACTTGTGTAAAAGTAAATAATTAAAAATGTGTAAAAGTAAAATCATTAAAATTGATTGGGTAAACAATATAAAACGAGTTGGAGGAGAAAGCCAATGGAAGCATTAGAGTCATAAATTCGTCCAGAGTGGGCCTTCAATAATTATCGACAGACTCATCAAGGGACCTCAGTAACGATTCCCACAGTTCCCAACTCCATCCACCCATTTTAAAGATGAGGAGCATGAAGATCCGAAAAGAACGCCCACGCCACAGGTAAAATGGCAGACAAACTAGAACCTGGATCTCTTGAGTCTCAAGAGGTATTCTTTCCTCTGTACTAATAAACAAACAAAAAACACTCCGGGCAAGTCACTGTCCTCATTTTAAAATTCATTTTAGCCAAAACGCTAACTCTAAATTTAAACAGTGACTGTTAATATTGGATGAGCAAGGTCCTTGTAGTCCCATAAGAGACACAGCAAATACGTCAACCTCTTTAAAAGGGAAAAACCCTCTTTTAATATTAAAAAGGTACCAGACTCAGCTACAAAGAACTGTTGAATTACATTTTGAGGAAAAAAACACTCAGAGAATACAGTGAAAAATCTGCTAATATGATTCAAAGTAGGAAAAAAAAACGATATTCAGGAAAAGATATTTGATCTAAAGGATGATAGACGAAGTAAGGTTCCAAAAGCACCCTCTGTAATAAATATATCACAAAACAGGTTTCACAACCAATCAGGTGAGCTTCTGAAGAGAGGACATAAAAGGTGACTGCCTCACCCAAATATATAATTAGTTTTATTTCTCAAGGTAACAGACGATGAAAATTTATCTTTGAGAATTCAGAGACATGTCAGTCAGTCACTAGAATAAGTTACTGACTCATGAAATCTAATCAGATGTTTAAATTTTTTTTTTTATTTTTTTTATTGAGTTATTGATAGGTTACAATCTTGTGAAATTTCAATTGTACATTAATGTTTGTCAGTCATGTCGTAGGTGCACCACTTCACCCTTTGTGCCCACCCCCCACCCCACCTTTCCCCTGGTATCCACTAAACTGTTCTTGGTCCATAGTTTTAAATTCCTCATATGAGTGGAGTCATACACAGATTATCCTTCTCTCGCTGGCTTATTTCACTTAACATAATTCCCTCAAGGTCCATCCATGTTATTGCAAATGCAATGATTTTGTTCTGTTTTGCAGCTGAGTAGTATTCCATTGTATATATGTACCACATCAGATGTTTAAATTTTTTTTTTATATTTCAAGGGCATCTTTAAAATTTTAATTTCTCTGAGGCAGAAAAGGAGGCAGCAAAGAGAGTGATTGTTGTTAGCAATGACCTTAACCTTCTCCCTCCTCAAACCTTGCCATACAATCTGAGAGCTAAGGCACCCATTTATCTTTGGGCAAGGGCTTATTAAGTTGTGAATTACAAGAAAATCACGAGGTTTACTGGAACCACCAAAAAAACTGACCAATCAAAAATAAATCCCAATATGATGAACTTTTACTTTTACAAAAAGATGACTTACTTATTGTTGAAACAAAGGCAATAAGTGTTACGATCATAAAAGTACTAAAAACATAGAATGAAAAGAAAAGGGAGGAGGGTGTGTTTATTGATCTAAGACAAGCATGTATTTAAATTATATAACAATATATTCTAATGGTATTACCATAGCTAAAATAGTGCTATTTAAATAAGGAAAAGTTATTAAGACCTGCTACTACTGACATTTAACACAAAACACTCCTATATTCCAATGACATTCTCCTAATTACTGATGTCCTTGTTAAAGTTTAAAAATACCTAGATGAGTAAGTTGGCTTCCGTGGACACATATCAAGAGGATACAGATTTAAATACTGGGAGAAAGCACAGCAAAACTGTTAAACCTTGACCAGAGGTGTCACAGCTGACTTACCTTCACGAAGCTCATGCGTATAGTACACATTTTTGTGAGCTCATAAACTGTCTCGAAGCCATGGTTCACAGATTGTGCCAATAACTGAGCAAATTCTTGGTTATTAAAAATTTTCAAACTACACCCACTAGGGATCTTGCAGACAGTAGTGGGATGAAATCCGTGATGGTAGTTGCAGTTCCGACTTTGCACAAAGATGCTGCTGTCGCTCAGGCATTCGGCATATACCTCCCCTCCAACGTAATAAAGATGAACACCTACAGGAAGACAAAGCACAGAACTCAGTCATGGTTGTTTTTTATAGCTGAACAGCATCTGTGTAGCTTCAGTATATAAATTTACATGGATTTAAACTTTGGCTAAGTAGCTAAATAGATATTTTCCAAGTCTTGCACAACTGATAAAATCTTGGTTAACAGTATTAGTTAATACAACGTCTGTATGTCAACCTGCACGTCTAGGAGGTTTCTAAGAAATAATATAACATAGCCTTTAAAAACTCAGTAATAAAGTGCAGCACTTTCATTTTGAGACATGTTTAAAGCCAATTTGGCCACAGATTGAAAGCATATTCTCACTTTCACTGTCTAGCACAATAAAGCTGAACTTTATTGTTATGGGATCCTAGATATACTCACCACACAAGCTCTCTTGCATTTATTTTGCAGCTAAGCTGTTTGAAAAATTTTAGGGCAGGAGAACAGAGGAGTGAGAGAAACAAACAAAAAACCTAGAAATCCACAGGTGGAGGAAGTATTGCCGAGAGCTGCTGTAAGATGTAAGTTGCAGACTAAAAAACACTAGAAAAATAATTCATACTGCATGGAATCTGATGTCAGTGAACTACCATCTGCTCCAAACTTCTTCCTGTGAGATCTACGGAGGCCGCAGTGTAGGAAATTGATCTTACTCAGCCTTTTACAAAAAGGAAAGGGTGAAAAAACCATTCTGACAGAGCCCCAGACCATTAAAGGAGATCACTTTATTACAGGTGATCCAGCAAACAGTCACATCCCAAGTGGCTTTAAACTGTCTACTTTGCAGGTAACTCTGGCATGTAAGCTTAGTCAATGCTTGAACTATTGTCTCATACAAAACATTAGGTGTTGCGTTCACGTGTACATACAATGGCTAAGACTTCTGTACCACGTAAACAGCTGCTGGAGCAGAAGCCCATTTTCCTGTCTGATGTAGAGAAAACAATTTAAGAGTGTATATGTGCGTTTTTATTTTTTCCCTGATTATAAAAATGAGAAATTTTCGTTTTAGAAAATTTAGAAAGTAAAACACAATATAAAGAAGCAGAAAATATTATCACTCCTTTAGTGACCTAGAGGCAGGCAGTAACTGTTAATAGTTTGACACACGGTATTCAGTTTTGAGTATCACTAAACTTTCTCTGCACACATTTATATTTATCTACATGATTGTATGGATACAACAATTTATTTAACAATTCTCCCATTACTGGACCATCATGTTGATACAAATTGTCTGCTATTGTAACAATGCATTATAAATGTCTCTGGACCACCTTTTGACAACATAGTCAGGAGAGATTCCTGGAAGTTAAATCACTGGATTGAAGGCTCTTGATTCACTTTGCCAAACGACTTTCCAGAACGCTTGCATCAATTTACACCCCACCAGCGTGTACTGAGTCTTCTCATTTCACCTGTGCCAGTACTGAGACCAGGTTTAAAACAGAACCAAAATTCCCCTAATTTACAGCTGAAAAACAATATTGTTTTAATTTGCACATGAGGCTGGATACACTCTCATGTTTATTAGCCACCTGTGTTTCTCTTATGAATTTACTGTTCATATTTCTTAGCTATTTACCCCACTGGGATTCTAGTATTTTTATTATTTATGAGCTGTGCATATAGGAAAGGTATAAATAATTTATTTCCTATTTGTTTCCCTGTTACTCCTTTGTCTTTTAATTGTGTTCATGGTATTTGTTTTTTTAACCTACGGAAGTCTGAAGTCTTTAAGTAGTCAAATCTCTTGTGATCTTTGCCGTTGCTTTGTATGCTTAGAAAATTTCTACCTCTCTGATCAAATATATTCTCTTCTAGCTCTTTAACAGCTTGCCTTTTAAAAAAAATTCAACTCACTAATCTATTAGCATCTATGGCATGAGGTCAGGGTCCCCCCAGCCTTATCCAAAGCTAACTTTGGTACTGCAGGAACATTAAAACACTCTACTGATTTGTTACGCTTCACTTAACACACAGTACATTTTTAAATACAGTATAGTCTGAGTTTAATTTATTCTACTGTTTTGTCTACACACTTACTTAATTGTAGTTTCATAATGTTTCATTAACCCCTAACATCAAGAATTTTTTGGGGGCCGCCCCGTGGCCAAGTGTTTAAGTTCACACTCTGCTTCAGCGGCCCAGGGTTTCACCAGTTCGAATCCTGGGCGCGGACATGGCACCTCTTATCAAGTCACGCTGAGACGGCATCCCACATGCCACAACTAGAAGGACCCACAGCTAAAAGTACGCAACTGTGTACTGGGGGGATTTGGGAAGAAAAAGCAGAAAAAAAATTTTTTTTCTCTACTCTCCCATTAAAAAAATTTACCTATTTTCACTTATTTATCCTTCCAGGTAATATTCAGAATACACTTCCCAACTTTCAAAAAAATATCACATTGTGACTCTGACATAGATTGTTTTAAACTATAAATTAAGTTAGAAGAACATCCTTAAAACGTTCTCAGAATATTAAGCCTTCTCTTCAGGGAATGCAGACTACCTATTTATTTATTTCAATTTTCTTTCTCTCTCAGTAAAATCTGCTTTTCTTTATATAATTCTCATACAGTGTAGGTTCAGATTATTTCTAAGAAGTTTATGTTTTCTGTTGCTATTGGGAATGTGATTTTCCCCTCCATTATATTTTCTAACTGGCTATTGCCAGATTAAAAAAAAAACACCTGAAATATAGTTTCTAAAAGTGGATTCTTCAGAGGTTTCTAGATAAGACATCTCTTCATTTGAATAGACGCAATGACCATGAGTAATGCCCCCTGGGCAAGGGAGGAAAGGCAATCAGACTTCTGGTACGAGGGGAAATGAATAAAAGCTTTCTGGAAATAAATTTGGAAAAATGTATCAGTGATTCTGACCTACTGATCTCACTTCAAGAACACATTCCCAAAGTATTATCAATTAGTTAACCATATCATCTGCAAATAATGACAACTTTGGCTTATTTCCATTATCTATAATTCTACATTTCAGTACTCCAGTCGAGGCATCTGGAAGAATTTTAAATAACAGCATTCCCAGAATTCTTATTTTCTTCCTAATTTTTAATAGGAACGTTCCAGAGTATAATGGCTTTTTACCACTTTGGAGTAATGGTCAACTTCAGAACTTAATGAAAAATATGTCCCTTCATCCCAAATGTAAGCAAAATTTGTTTATGTCCAATTTCAGGGGTTTACAGACGACAGAAAGATGTCTGCATGTTATAAACCTGAGTTCTAGCATTTCATCATTAAATCTGTAGTTTTCTTTTTCCATTATTGTATTAAGGAACTATGAATTCCTGTCTTAATTAAGAGGTTTTTTTTTTAGGATTAAATGTTAAACTTTATTTCAAATATTCTTTAAGCATCTATTAAATAACCTTTTAATATGGTCCACTGTTCTAAATTTCATAGTAGGTCATTTTTTAAAACTTTTCCTCTAGAATAATTTCAAACTTATAGAAACAGAACAAACAACAAAGAGAAACAGAACAAAGAACATCCATATAACTCTTATCCAGATTCATCTACTGTGACAATTTACTCCATATGCTTTATAATTTGCATCTCCCATCCCTCTATTCTTCCACTCACACTCTTATATACATATGCATACACAGATACATACACATACATACATATATACACACATAGATACACACACACATATATATAAGCATATGCATGTGTGTGTGTGTGTGTGTGTACATACATACATATATATATATATATATATATATACACACACAGTGACAGGATTGTTTTAGGTGGATAGATATCTTTATTTATATATATAATTCATTTCTTCCTGAATTATTTCACCATGGCCCTTTAGCCCTAAATACTTAAGTATGTATTTCCTAAGAATAGGGATATTCTCTTAAGCAGCCACAGTACAGTTAGCAATGCCAGTATATTTAACATTGATATAATACTTTGATCTAATCTACCATTCAGATTTTAATTTTGCCTGCTGGCTTCAATAACATCCCTCATGATATTTTCCCCTGTCTGGTACAGAAGCATGTCCAGGGTCAGGTTATTACATAGAGGTGTCATATCTCTTTAACTGCTTTTAATTTGGAACACTCTCACACCTTTGTCTTTTGACATGATATTTTGGAAGAATACAGTCCCTCCTCACTCTTTTAATAGAATGTTCCTCATTTTGGGTTTGTCTGAAATTTCCTCATGATTAGGTTCAGATTTGCATTCTCAACGGGCATTCTGCATAGGTGATGCTATTTCCTTCTCTGGGTATCACATCTGGAGGTATGGTTTCCATCTGTCTCTCTGTGGTGATGATAATTTTGATCCCCCAGTCAAGATGTTGTCCAACTTCCCCACTGTATAATTACTGATTTTTATTCTCCCTTGTAACTAATAGGCAGTCTGTGAGGAGACACTTTAAGACCATACAAATATCCTGATTCTCATTAAAAATTCTCTCTACATTTAGCATCCATAGATGATGATTCTTGCCTGATGGCTACAAGATGATGACTTTCCAACTCTAACACTCACTCTACATTTACCAATCAGCCTTGTTCATTCATTTATTTATCTATTATTGGCATGGATTTAAGAACGATGACTGTTTTTCAGTAGCTTAAAATTTATTACTGTACTTAATTATTTCGGTGCTCAAATTGTCCCAGAGTTGGCCAGTGGAAGCCCCTCCGAGTTGGCTCCTGTGACATGCCCCCATCATTTTCATAAGTATTTCTTTACTTTCTGATATAACAAAACGTTCCAGGCTCATCTCGTGCCTACCTGTCCCAGCCTTGGAGTCAGCCCTTTCTCCAAGGAGCACTGGTTCCTTTCAGTGGGAAATGGTGTAGAGATGATCATGTGAGCACTAGAACTGGGTTATCTTTGCCTCTTGGCTCCTTCAGCAGACAGATCAGAAACTACAGGCATGTACAGACACACGCATACATACACATGTACACACATACATATACATGAGAACACAAACATGCATATACACACACATAGATGTATTAATAAAATCATGATTTCATACTGATACCTCTAGAGGTTTTACTTTTTGCCCTCCTCCACACTTGTATGTCTCTCATTGCACACTGTAGACTCAGTGAAATCCCAACAACATCCACAGATTCAGTCATTTGCTTAATCTAATAGTTTATCTAAAAGTTTCATAACTGTTTCACTCCTACTGCTACTAAATAATCAAGTCTACAAAAAAGACTTCAGCATTTGCTTGCAATCACTCTTCCCTACCTGGCCCAGCCTGAGGCTACATGGCCAAATACTATATTCATAAGTTATTTTGGATTAGTTCTTTTTTTTTTTTTGCCAGTGAATTATGGTATTCATTTGAAATATATTAGGTTTACTTGTTTTAATTTACTTTTAGTTTTAGGCTGTAAGTAATTATTTGGGGGCACCTGAGCTAACATCTGTTGCCAATCTTTTTTCTTCTTCTCTCCTCCCCAAAGGCCCCAAGTACATAGTTGTATATGCTAGTTCTAAGTCGTTCTGGTTGTGATATGTGAGACACTGCCTCAGCATGGCCTGACGAGCAGTGCCATGTCTGCATCCAGGATCCGAACCAGCGAGACCTGGGCCATGGAAGTGGAGCGCACAAACTTAACCACTCGGCCACGGGGCTGGCCCCCATAAGTAATTTTTTAATAGCTATTTTATGCTGCAGCAAAACAGAGGATAGAATAGTCTCCCCAAATAGCAAATCACTTTTTCAGCTAATTAATATCAATTAGTATGAGTTGGTAGGCCACAAAAATTGCTGATTGGAAAGTGAAGAACTTCCTGATAATGCAAACTAGAAAAATATATACAAACTGTAACAAGCGTATATTACCTGGTGTTTGCCACACTAGTTTGCGGCAGGAACGACTAAGGCAGTTCTGGGGGAACAGGGACACACAGATAAACTAGATTCCAAAGAGGTTAACGTGAAAACTCACCTTTCCCGATATGCCGCCTCGTGTTTTCAATAGTGGAATTCCGGTTAACGTTGGATAGCAGTCCAAGGCAGAAACGGTTCTTATTGTTGGAAGGATCAGTGAAACCATCCACCAACACACTTGTGGAGGAGGCATGGAACGCTTCACCCACACGGTTATTGAGCTCATAGTAGACAATAGAGCACCAGTGTTTTGGTTCCTCGTAAGCAACCGCCTGAACGTCTGTAAGAGAGAAAAGCTTACAGTCAACCACGGTTAGTGCCTCGGGCTCTCAAAAACTGAAACTGCGTGGTCAAAGTGCCTCAGGATCATGGAGGAAGATATGGAAAAGCACTTGCTATTATAATGTACCAGTTTATCTGTGATATCTAAAGCAGGGACTCCTTACTAAGTGTGTCATTCTCCTTTAATTGGAAAATAATTTTCTCCAATTACTATCAGATAAGCCAAACGCCAGCTACGCAAGCATACCAGCAGCATTTGCTGAACATTCACAATATGCTACTTGCTCCGTAATATGCCAAAATGGAAATTACCCCACCACAGTCCCTGGCTCACCATCTAAAGAAATGCACCAAGTGGCAAGTGAAAAAACAAGTGGGAAGAGAACAATAGGGGATGGGAAATATGCCAAAGGTGCTGGCACAAACAGGAATTACTTTCAACAGAGGCTTAGTGTGCCTGCGCTTTTTCAAAGCAGTGAAAATCAGTTTCTAATTATTGATAAGGAGTTCCTTCACTTCACATTAAGTTGCCAATAACGATCACAGCTACAGCTCTGCTCCAGTCCTCAAACTCAGGAAGCAATCTTGCCAGCTGGCCATTCTTACAGAGTGAATCGTATCTCTCGCCTCCAGACTGCACGCTGACTTCCTTATATTTGATTTAAGTCATGCAGAGCAGGTGTGTTTGGTCTCTCCATTCCCAGAATGGGCCAACAATGGAAATTACCCAACTTCACTGACAGGATGCAGCTTGTTAAGTCAAATCTCTTAAGACTAACAAATCTCCAAACAGAACATGCTTCTAACATTTGCAACTAAAAGGTTCTAAAGATAAGTTCCTTCTGTAGTAAAACTTCTTATACCGCTGCGTTGGAGATTCCAAGAACACAAACCACACATATCCAGCATGCCAATATGGAATCATCTGAGGTTTATGAAATCTTGAGCATATGATCATAAAAAAAAAAAGAAAGAAAATCCACATTGGAAGCATGAACTGTAACTCTTAAGGGAAAAGTACTTCTGTGTTCTTAACGTCGACCTCCGCAAATATTAGAAGGCATTTACTGTAGAATTTGGTAAAGAAAACAAGAAAAATGAACATTAAAAAAAATCTACACATACATTAGCTGCTTTATATACTTAAGCAGAGGAGCTGAAAACATACACTTCTTCCCTGTTTGCTAAGCAACTATTTCAAAGAGCAAAATGTAGGCGATTTACAAGTGCCAAATCTTAAAGAAGCCCACAAAATCATTAATAGAAGGCTTTTATCAGCTATCAGGATTGTTGAAAATATTATCCATCTAGGTCAGAGATTGACAAATTTTTCCTGTAAAAGGCCAGGAAGGTTTCGTGGACCATATGGTCTCCATTGCAACTATTCAACTGTGCCCTAGTAATGCAAAAGCAGCCATAGATAACATGTAATGAATGAACATAGCTGTGTTCCAATAAAGCTTTATTTACAAAGACAGGAAGCAGGCTGAATTGGCCTGTGGGTTGTAATCTACTGACCCTTGCTCTAGGAAACCCCCAAAGGTAAAACAACAACAAAAGGCCAACATTCCTTCCTCATGAAAACATTAACTGTAAACTTTTTCTGATAGGGAAACATTTTAAAGCTATTTAAAGGAAAAATTTGAAAGCATTTTAAAGGTCTATTTTCTGAAATCAGACATTTCAGGTTTAACAAGAACAGCTACAGGGTCCACCTGCTCCTGTGTAACAGTGCTCTCCCATTCTCTCTCGCTGTCCTGCTCTCTGAACACAAATGCCGAAAACGTGCAAGAGAAGAGTTACTTTCTCTAACCAGGATCTTTATTTGTTGGCTCATAATTACATGTTTGAGAGGACGTTCTAGAGATTATCAGGAACCATAAAATACAGAGCCAAATAAAAAAGATATAAAAAAATTTTTACAGATTAAAAAGGTATACATTCCTATTTATTCACTGCACATCTAAGCAAACTTCTTTGAGTTCATCATCAAATTTTAAGAACTTGAAAAATGTAAGCAACTCTGACAAAGTCTGTATCTCCAATTTTAATAAAAAAGTGAGACGAATGAAATAAGACATAGCTAGTAATGGAATTGCATTTGAACTTCCATTTACATGAACTGAATGATGCATGTCACGTGTAGAGTGCACCAGTGAGGCACCTCCCTAAGGAGAGGGTATCAGGGACCAGTTTTATTCAACAGTGTGGTCAGGACTTCTTACAGGTGCTCAGGGATTCTCCCAACACTTATCTACCTGAGCTCTCGGCTCGCTTAAGCCTCCTCAACCTGCCACTGCAGACCTGGAAGAGCGATCCTCCCCCTCAGTGACCAACGGGGAAAACAGAACTGGAAAGAGACCCAGCCTCTAGTGGGGAGGGAAAGAAATGTTCGGTTCTGCTTCTAAGTTCTTCCCACCAAGAACAGGTAAAATGTGCCTCAATTCCTTTGTAACAAGGTTAGAAACAAATAAACACAGCAAGAAAAACCCAAACACTATTAGTTTGTTCCAGTTGCAGCTGTATGTAGATGAGGGCCATAAAATGGATGGGGTTTATGAATATTGATCCTAACTACAAAAGAACCTTTGGAAAGCCGTGATCTATGAGCTTCTAATTTTAGAAATCACCCGTGAAGCTCTACTTCAGTATTGTTATGCTGTTTCTCAATACCCCTTATCCTTCACTTAAAAATACTCTTTAGTAAAGAGATGATTGCACAATTATACTTAGGCCTTCATTAGTTAATCAGTGTGTTTGTTCTCCATATAGAAGACTTATTCGTAATCCAAAGAATTCTATCCAGCTTCTCTTACTGTGCGCTCCTCTTTCTCCAGTAGCTGTTTTTTCAAAAGATGAATATAAATTTGTGATAGAAAGTAACATGTGGACAAATTAACTTTAGACTCTAAAAAGGGAATAAGTGGCAATTCATTTTACCTCCTCTGTTGATTTCTGAGGGCAGCGAAGGCGCCATCATATTTGTGTCCATTGGCTGTGAGCCATCCTGGGTCATGGGGTCTTCAGGAGGCAGGTAAGCAGGTGGGGGTGTGTCGGCTACAAAGTTTTAAAAAAATAAGTTCTTTATCTTTGATAAATGCTCACACTTAAAACATATATTCTCTTCTATGCTGCGATTCTTAAGAGATTAAGTTGCCTTTTCAACCTCTCATCAGAACATTGGATGCTAGAGACACTGGACTTGACGTACACTTTCTGAAAATGACTACCATCTCACCATCTTACACAATTTTAGTGAACATTCAGTGGGAGTTTTATGCCAGTTCCAGAAGCTGTCTGCCTATCCAGGATCATGACATTTTAAAACATCCAAAAGAGCATTTAAACATGCTTTCATATAATTCACTTTGAGAGGGCCTGTGTATTTCGTAGTCTCACTGATGGATGGAAAACCTATGAAGGCTACACAGGACTCCTGAAGAAAAGGAGCTTTAGGGTCTCTTGCATTAAACCTACGGGCTCTTAGAAATTTGCCAACTGAGTTTCATTACAGTCAACTTACTGACTGACACTGTTCATTTCCCATGACTGGCCACTTCTCCCTACCCACTTAAATAATGACTAGTTTTAAAATCCCTAGTAGCAGAATAACAGGAAATACATCAGTTTATCACAGCTCTCGTCTGTTTCAGAATTTACATATGTTTCTTCTGGAAAGCTCATAGCTAGTGGGCAAATAAGAGGCCAATAACATGATTTTTGAAACAAAGAACACTAAGTCTTGTGTTTTCTTAAATAAAATAAAGGGTTTTTTCCCGCGAACAATCCTTTGTGACAGAAAAACAAGATCCTTACTGGCTATCACTGGTTATCGTGAGCCCATCTAGCACATACGACAGAGCAGGGAACACAGTTTTACCTTAGGGAACCATGAACAACTTGGGTAAGTACTCTAGACCACCCAGGGCAGCTGTCGAATACAGACAGCGAATACTGCTCCTTTAGAGTTTCTCAGTGACTTCCAAGACTCACTCTCCAGCTGGATCACAACCTGCTAACTTCCACCATCCAGCTGCTAACAAGCAAGGACTCAGAGCACAAAGACAGGACTATGGGGACCTTATCTGGATGCCTTTTTCACCCTTTCTCCAGCTTCTTTTAATTTAGCTTCTTCCCTGCAGCTGTAACGCTGACTCTGCTTTATTTCCAGCCAGGAACGAAGGCAAAGAGCCTCCTCTGAGGGAAAATCCAATAAATTTCTGTAAACAAGCTGGTGACAATTTCATTGGCGACCTATGGCATTGCACCACTGACAGGGACCAGATAACTACTGGTGGTACTCTACTCTTCCCACACGGACCTCCTCCACCCCTTGCAACTTTCTCTTGCCCGTATTTCCTCTCCTTGGCCTCTACCTTGATCTCTAACAGCCGGGGACAAAGAGTAAATACAAGAATAAGCTTCAATTTCTTCACCCTTGGGCCCAGCTTGGGTTTGCCAACTGCTCAAAAGCCTTCTGAAACCATCTCCTCACCACTACCCTGTTCATCAAACCCAACGGGTCTGGCAGGGAGTGGGGTGGACAGAAAACCACCAGATAATATTAGTTTGATTTTTAAACTAATTTATCTCCCACCTTCATCCTAAACAGTTTTGGACTGAAAAACAAACAAAACACTGCAAAATAAACAGGCTTAAAATAAAAGGAAGCAATAAATATATAAATAAAAGAAAGCACTACCAAGTGTGGACCACTTTTCAATTTTGGGGGACACATCAGCACTGTTGTCAAATTCAGATTTACTTGAAAACATTTCAAGTGGCCCAATAAACATGCTGGCTGGTTCATTTTCCCTTCTTGAAATGTTAATAGATGTCAAGCATATCTTTGTTTAGAAATTTGGAACTACTCATTTTTTTTTCTGAGATGCATGCTTATTAACCTATAATTTGAAAAATATATGTCTTAATCATCTATTTTGATAAACATTATACCATCATTTAAGTCTAAAAAAGGAGGAGAATTGTTTTTTGTCTTTGCCCGATGGTTTCCAGGACTTCTGTTGCAATATCTTTGTTGCTAACGTGTATGTTTCTTGGCATTACATCACCACTGAAATGAATTTAATTAAGTAGAGGGGAGTGATCCCTCAGGAAATATCTCTTCTGAGGTTACACTCATAACAGGCTTTTTCTATGGAAATGATGTTGATTGAGGCTGTGTTTCTCCTAACAGCAAATGTGTGCAACGCATTATTTTTCTCTTTCTCTCTTTTATCAAGAGCAAAGACTCTAACAATTATGCCACTCCCAGAAGGATGCAGCTGTTTCAAAACCTTTCAAAATCAGAAATAAAACATATTCAAGCATCTGTGCCTGACAAATAAAACCAGACATTTGCTAACTTGGCTGCAAGGTCTCCCTTTCCCCCGAAATCATGTCCTGAGTTCCAGAGCAGAGTGCCGGATTCTAGAGCTGAAAAGCTCTGTCCACTCCAGGCACACGCAGCTTCTCCTTGACACTCTGGTAACACCTGATCTGACCACAGAACACCTCTGAACATTCCGACCTACCTGGCATCTGAAAAGGGCTTCCCGGGTCTGAGCTGGTGGGTGAGTGAGGGTAGGTGCCACTGCTGCTTCCAGGAGAGTTAGGGTAACTGCTGTTGGGGGAGTGAGGAAACGGATGACTGTTGGGTTGCTGGAAAGAATCCGGAAAAGTGGCATTGAGTGGCATGTGAGGCTCATTTTGTCCTAAGTTACGGAACTGAGCTAAGAGGCTGTGCTGAGGATTATATTCACTGTGTCTTGGAACCAGCACTGGAGGGAGGACTGGAAAAAGGGAAAGAAAAAAAAAAAGAGACAAAAAATGATGAAAATCTATAATAACATCACAATAAAGCTGAAATATAATCTGTTAAGTAACAACAAATTATCCGAGGCCTGCTCTGCTGCCAATTCAAAAGCACGATTCAAATGAAAAGCCGTTTTTCACTCAGGAACAAATGCAGTAAGAAATACAGTCTCTTTAGAATCACTGAAGACTGAGGCCCGAGACCTGCAGCATTGACACACTGCCCAAGGAAAGTCTGCGAAATACGTTCTTTTAGGTTAAATATGTTAAGGTTCCCTCGTTCTTAATTTTTTCACTCACTAAAAACCAAAGCACAATTAAGAACATACATCACCGTTGACAACTACACTTTACAGCCCTTGGCTGATAAGATTTTGCATTTAAGAGTTAATATTTATTGAATGAGATAAATTATTCACCACAAATGTTTCAAATTGACACATTAACTCACTTTAAAACAAAAAGAAGCACAGTGAAGTCGAGAGGGTAAATACAGTGAGCTGTATGATACCCAGATGCCAATGAAGACAGACAAAATATGATGTTTTATGTTGTGTCCTAGCAGTCAAATTTTATGACTGGCTTTTCTCTAAGGATCCTAAGATGTGTACCCACTTCCCAGTAATCCTTATCACTACCTGAAGGGCAGAGAAAGAAAGAGGTTGTCTGATCCACCTTTTGCTAATTGAATACTCAAGGTATAAAGGCCAAAAACGTAGGTACCAGTAGAGAAGGAAAGAAAGCAACTCAAGTCATTCCTAAAAGCTCCGTATGTTAGGAACCTAAGGAGTTAATAATTAGCATGGTCATGAACCTCCAGAGGTAAGCCACTATAAATACAATGCTAATCACCGGGAAGAGCTGGCTAACAGAGCCCTAACCCGGGTAGATTCTACGCTTCCCAACAGGGTCACCAGATGGCTCCTCCCCAATAACAAGGGCCCTTGGAATCCCCACCACTATGGTGGCGTTGGCTAGAAAGAGGAAAACGACCCATGTGGTAAAATGCACAGTGGGAGAGAGGAGGAGATTTAAAATCTGTTATTGCCGTCGAGAGTTAGAACTCAGAATCTATTTTCCCAAAGAAACAATATTCAGTGGCATTAGGAATTAAGTAGATTTTTGAGGGTTTTCCAGGGAATCTATCCATAACTTGTATCATTTCTACAGAAAAAAGTGCTCTTAACATTTGGATTATCACTGATTCCTGAGCTGAAAATTGTTTTTAAGTAAAAATAGGTTTTGAAGGTATTAAAATTTCTCATACGCTATCTTAAATTGCTACATAATCTTGCAGGAATAACATTTGCTGATTTTCCTGTTTGATCCCTTAGAAACAAATCTTTTTAGTATAATAAATGCATGTTTTTTTAGCACAGTGATGGAATCTGCCCAAAACAAGTCATCAAAAGCATAATTCCTCCTTCTACCTTTCAACCGTCATCGGAAACGTAAACTACTTTATTCTGTTGAAGAAAAAATTCCCCATAGTCACAAAGGATACCCTAACGCCAATCGAAATCTATATTCCAAAATAAACACATCTACAAAATAGTCCAATACCTTAAAATTACCTAAGCAATCAAATATTCTCTTTTTCTTTTAGCTTCTGCAGCTTGAGTTACCATTTCCCAACCTGCCTTCTATGGTCATCTAGCCACAGCCTCCATTCTGATTCGCACCTTTAAAATAAAGGGGGCAAATAAATACTGGCCTCTAAACCTCTTCCCCCAAATGCAGCACCAGACAGCAACATGAATCAGTCCTCCATCTCAACCCTTCAGAGGATATCCCCTGAACACACACACACACACACTCTATTTACTGGAGCCCCTGTTTTGGAGTCTCCAGTGCCTAACAGTTTTAGAACTGGGCATGTACTTCTCATTGCCTGCAGATGACAGTGGCAGCGGAAGCAATGTATTTCTGTACCCCGAGGTGATAGTCTGCATACGTGTCTGCAGTCACTCTTGCGCAGCATAATGGCCTGGCTCGAAAGCAAGGTGCTGGCCTTAGCGCACATCACAGGTGAGACCAATCAGCTTTTGTAGATGACCTGGGAAGGGAGCCACCAACAAAGCACACCCTACAGATGAACTTGACAGGAAACAGGGCTTTTTTCCCTCACTTACAATTATTAAGATGATTTTTCTACTGCTGATATAGGTAAAGGCATCTTTTAATAAACTTAAAAAATGTACTGAGGTATTGCATCTATAGTAAAAGGCACATATCTTCATATAAATGGGATCGTGTATACTCTTGTGTCTGGCTTCTTTGGTTCAACAGTATGTCTGTAAGACTCATCCAATGTTGTGTGCAGCATCTTATTATACGTATATATTACAATTTATTTCCTCAGTCCCCTCATCTAACCTCCTCAGAGAATAGACAATTTCATTTTTTTCTGGTTTATCCTTCCTGTGTTTCTTCTTGGAAAAATAAGCAGATAAATGTATGCTTTCTTATTTCATCTTTATTACTAAAAAGAAAGGCAGCCTACTATATATCCTCTTTTGCACTTGGGTTTTTTCCCCTATATCCTAGAATTAACTTCATATTGGTTTATAGCCATCTTCCTCATTTATTTTTACAGCTAATAGCACCGGAGTTTATTTACCCAATCTCCCATGTCTGGGCATTTAGGCAGTTTACAATATTTTGCCATTATATATGACATCCCAATGAATAACCATGTGTGTAAACATTGTGGTATCGTTAACGGGATATCTTCAGGGTAAATTCCTAGAAGTGGAAATACTGGATGAAAGGGGAGATGCAGATAGAACTTTGTTATTGTCAAGCACCCCTTCATAGGGGATGTGCGATTTTGCATTGCCACCAGCAACACACGAGAGTGACTTTTCCCCCACAGCCTCTAGAACAGACTATTTTGTCAAGTTTCTAATTTTTGTGATAATCTGAGGGGTAAGAAGTGGTATTCCGGTGCAATTTTAATTTAAATTTCTCTTATTATGGTGAAAGTCAACCATCTTTTCATGTGTTTCAGAGGACATTTTTATATCTTTTTTTGTGAACTGTCTGCTGTGCTTTTTTGCCCACTTTTGATCTTTTCATTTTTCATTAAAATATATATACATATATTACAGATATTCACTCATGATATATATTACAAATATTGTATCACAATCTGTCATTTGTCTTTTGACTTTGCTTATGTGCAAAGGTTTATTTTTTTGTAGTCAAATTTATCAATCTTTCCTCTTATTGCATACGGATTTTGAGTCACAGAAAGCCTTCTCCTACACCCAAACTGTACGGAGGAATTCATCCATGCGTTCCTGTAGTGCACATAAAGTTTCATATTTGAATTAGATCTCTGATCCATTTGTAGTTGTTTTATTTATAGTATGAGGAAGAGATCTAATTTTATCTTTTTCCAAATGGTTAGCCAGTTGCCCAACACCATTTATTAAGAAGCCCATCTTTGTCCCAGTGATCAGAGATACCACCTTTCCCATCAAGTTCCATATGTGTTAGGGTCTATGTTTAGACATGCCATTCCATTCTATTCTAGTCTGTGCCCAGCCCAGCACCACTCTGTTTAATTATAGAGGTTTTATAGTATGTTTTAATATCTGACAGGGCTGGTCCCCTCTCACAGTTCTTCCTTTTCAGTGTTTTGCTTGCATGCTTACTTTTCCACATGAACTTTAGTTACCACTTTGTCAACCTCCAGAAAAAAATATTGGTACTTTTATTGGGATTACATTATATTAATAAGTGAACTTAGGAAGAATTAGTATCTGGATAATGTTGAAATGACCTATTCAAGAACCAGGAGAGTATGTTCAAGTCGACTTCTGTGTCTTCCAGGAGTGCTGTAGAGGTACTGTGTTACTCTGCTAGGGCAGCCATAAAATGCCACAGTCTGGGTGGCTTGAACCACAGAAATCTATTCACTCAAAGTTCTGGGGGCTGGAATTCTGAGAGCAAGGGGTTGCCAGGCTGGTTCCTCCCTAGGCCTCTCTTCTCGGCTTGCAGACGGCCGCTTTCTTACCGCGTCCTCACACGGCTCATCCTTCTCGAGTCTATGTCCTAATCTCCTCTTCTTCAAGATACCAGGCAGAGCGGATCAGCGCTACCCAAAAGGCCTCATCTTAACTTTTGAAAGGTCCTATCTCCAAATACAGTCACATTCTGAGGTGCTTATGATTAGGGCTTCAACACAGGAATTTTAGGAGGGACACAATTCAATCTGTGACACTGAATTAGGTTTTACATAATTCTTATTAAATTTATTCTTAAGTATTTTACCTTTTGTTGCTATTTTAAATGGAGTTTTCTCTTCCATTATGTCTTCCAACTGGCAATTATTTATATATATATAAAGGTTATTGATATTTCCATGTTACTTTTACATGTTATTTTTTTACTATTATCTGGCTGAATTCTTTTGTTGTCTGAGTTAGTTTTACCACTGATTCTCTACAGAGTTCTCCAGGCAAATGATCAAGTCCTCAATAAACAGATACAAGTTTTACTTTATCCTTTCCAATTATTTTCTCTTGTCTAATTGCATTGGCTAACAGTGCCAATACATGTTAAAAAGCGGTGGAGAGGGGCCAGCCCCAGGGGTGAGTGGTTAAGTTCACGTGCTCTGCTTCGGTGGCCCAGGGTTTTGCTGGTTCAGATCCTGGGCGCAGACACAGCACTGCTCATCAGGCCATGATGAGGTGGCAGCCCACATGCCACAACTGGAAGGACCTACAACTAAAATATACAACTATGTACCAGGGGGCTTTGGGAAGAAAAAGGAAAAATAAAATCTTTAAAAAAAAAAAAAAGTGGTGGAGATAGTGAACTTCCTTGATTTATTCTTGACCTTGGTGGGAATGCCTCTAGTGTTTCCCCATTAAGTAAGATGCTGACTTTAGGGCTGAGGCATACATATCACGATGGAAGTATCCATCCATTCCTATAATTGAGTGTTTTTATTAAGAATAAGTGTTGAATT